AGCCAGCCGAGGGTTAAAGACTTCTCCAGACACCACTTCACCGATAAGAAACTTGGCAGCAGCTCCGTAGCTGCCTGCCAAGACCTTTTACTCCAAGCACACAGAAACAAAAAACAATACACACAGTTTAAAGCCACAGCAAACTACTTCACCAGAGATTCAGCTTTTGTCCGTCACAGAGGTCCAAATGGCCACCACCACCCTTTTATAGCCTGTGGGGTGTGATCCAGTGACTCAGCTTAATCTCTGGCACGTCTCCTTTTCTGCTGCGCACGCTTGTCGCTCCTACGCTGGCGTGGATCCAGCCACAACTTCTCTTCCTCATTATCCGACACACCTGGCTCCTGGCCAATCTCAGAACCACATGGCTCCTGGTCAATCTCTTCTCCGTCAGGAGACACCTGAGGCCTTGCCAAAGAGGAGGGTCCTGGAGAGGGAGGCCTGGCCTTCTCCTCTCCTTCATGTTCGGAGCCTTCTTCCTCCGATAAGAGGGGTTCACAAGACGGAGCCACAACACTCAGATCCTGGCAGGACCCCTCTTGCCTTTTCTAAAATCAAAACCTTTTCTAAAATCAAAACCTAAAATCAAAACCTGCAGTGCCTTCTTCCCAAATCTACACCCTACAATCTCCAGGTAAAAGGATTTGGGGGGGGGGAAATGTCTTGGGAAGACAGTTTCCCAGCCACCATCTTACGTGGGCAGATCGATGCTCTGCCTTGCTTTAAAAAAAAAAACAGTCAGGTTCTCCGTCGCCTCCAGGTTTCGAATTGGAGACTCTGCCCCGAAATACGGCAAGAGTTTTGGACTCACCAGGGTCATCCCCATATAGGCCATGCCGGTGTGAGTCAGCTGATTATTCCACAGCACGAGGGTGACCAGGCCTTTCCGCTGTTCTTTCAGCCCTTCACAGATATAGGCCAGTCCTGGGAAGCACAAGACAAGCAGATGAGAAAGGGAAGTGTCGTTTTTTTCTTGCTTGTTTTGCTTTTTTTTAAAAAAAAAAAAAAAATAGCACGTGGTTAACACAGAAGTTCGGCATGTTCTGTATTTTTAGCTTAAGGGAATAAAGACATCCGTTTGTTCTTTCTGGAAACTTTGGATTAGCTTCCTCTTGGGGTTACAGCTGTCTTGAGATGTCTGCATCTGCTTTAAATAATTTACTTAGTTTCTGGGTAGGATTGTTTGAAAAGAGGGAACGCTGAAAAATGAGCTTCTTGGATCCGAGGTATATCTTAACGCTTTTTAATTTTAATTTTAATTTCTTCAGTTCCTCAAAGAAATTGCACGTTTTTAGTAGCCCACAAAAAGAACCTTATTTAAAAATCCATCACCATTTGACAGCCCCAAATTCTCCCAAGTCTGAAGAATTTGTCTCCTTGGAAGCCGGGCCGATTCAAAAACAGAATGCTGTACGAATTTATTGCAATAAATAAAGTGCATTAAAATCAGGGCCCGGCTGATACTTGTCGAGTTGATGAGATTTATTTAAAAGTTCAAAGAGACACAATGAACCCGTAAATAAGATGCTCATATTGTCTGAATTAAAGTCTTATTTTACTCTCGGGACGTTTCTATGTATCCTTTGGCCAGCGAGACCAAAATGAATTCTGCATAAGTCAATCAGATGTACAAAAGCTTATTAGTTCATTTGCAGAGATGTCTTCAAGCCACAGCATCTGACTTTTTCTTGGCTTGGAATCTGAGAACTTACGATCCTCACCTTACGATCATAATGGAGTCTGCATGACCTACTCAGTGTGACGGTCTTTTTTTGCAGTGGTTGTTAAGCACTTTCATTAAACAAACCATGGTTAGTTATGGGTGCAGTTTCACCCCCAAAATGGAAGTAAATGCTGGTTGCAAAACCATTGTAAAATCTAGTCGTGCGGCTGCAGGATGCTGCAAACATAAATGCACCCAAGTTGCCAAATACCAAAAGTTGACGAATTTGGGGTGTGTGTGGGGGGGGGGGGGGAAGAGAGTCAGTCCTAACTCCAAATTCAGGTCATGTATCTCTCCCCAGCAGGTCCATCATAACTCCAGTCACTAAACAATCTATTTTAAGTCAAGGGCTACCTGGAAATATGAGCCAGCAGTGTGCTGCAGCTGCCAAAAAAGCCAACACAGTGCTGGGCTGCATTTGTCTGAAATGGTGTAGGGTTCCTGCCTGAGCAGGGGGTTGGACTTGATGACCTCCAAGGTCCCTTCCAACTTTTTTTAAATAATAATAATAATAATAATAATAATAATAATAATAATAATAATAATAATAATAATAATAATAATAATAATAATAATAATAATAATAATAATAATAATAATAATAATAATAATAATTATTATTATTATTATTATTATTATTATTATTATTATATTATTTTGCAATTTCTTCCTTCCCTTCCCTTCCTCCTTCCTCCCTTTCTCTCCTTCCTTCCTTTCTTTCCTTCCTTCCTCCCTCCGTCTCCTTCCTTCCTTCCCTCCCTCCCCAAATGAGGACGCTGGAGGCAGGAGCTCCCCTACCTGAATCCAGGACGTGGTTGTTCCTGAGGTCCAGGATCTGTATGTAACAGTTGAACTTCAACAGGTTGCCGAGCTGAGCCGAGTCTTGGAGGCTGTTGAGTTTATTATCCGCCAGGTAAAGTTCCCGCAGGTTCATGTTCATTTTCAGAGCCGTCGCTACGAAGAAGGAAAATAAAGCAATGAGCAAGCGAGAACTCGGGCGGAAGCCCAACACTTCCAGTCCCTTGTGGCTGTCATTTTGGCAAGGATGCAAAAATGAGGGGTTGGCTGCAACGAGGCCATGGTGTAAATCCCATCCCGATGTTCAAAGGGAAGAGATGGGATTTTTTTTACCGTGACACAAGCCGAGGGACACCCTGCAGCCAAGGCTGTGTTGAAGACGCCTTTCTTTTCCACCTTCTTTTACCTAATGCTCTTTTAAGCTGTGAAAATAAAAAAGCCCTAGGGATTAAGCTGGAGGCCTAGTTAGTCTAAGGCAGTGTTTCTCAACCTTGACAATTTTAAGGCATGTGAACTTCAACTCCCAGAATTCCACAGCCAGCATTGCTGGCTGTGGAATTCTGGGAGTTGAAGTCCACATGCCTTAAAATTGTCAAGGTTGAGAAATACTGGTCTAAGGTTTTGTTTTGCACAGTGATCAAGGGATGCTTCACGTGAAGTGTTAATGCCACTTTACAATGCCTTGGTAAGGCCACACTTGGAACGCTGCATCCAGTTTTGGTCGCCACGGTGTAAAAAAGATGTTGAGACTCCAGAAAGAGTACAGAGAAGAGCAACCAAGATGATTAGGGGACTGGAGGATAAAACATACGAAGGATGGTGGCAGGAATTGGGCATGTCTAGCGAAAAGAAGGATGAGGGGTGACAGGATAGCAGTCTTCCAATATTTGAGGGGCTGCCATAAAGAAGACGGGGTCAACCTATTCTCCAAAGCATCTGGAGGCAGGATAGGACGAGCCTCCCTTCACTGGAAGCTTCTTAAAAGCCTCCGGTGAGGGATCCCCCACAACTTCTGGAGGCAGGTTGTTCCATCGGTTAATTGTTCTCACTGCTAGGAAATTTCTCCTTAATTCCAGGTTGCTTCTCTCCTTGATTAGTGTCCATCCGTTGTTTCTTGTCTTGCCTTCTAGAGCTTTGGAAAATAAGTCAACCCCCTCTTCTTTGGGGCAGCTCCTCAGATATTGGAACACTATCATGTCCTCCCTAATCCTTTTCACTAGACTAGATAAACCCAATTCCCGCAACTGATGCCTACCCAATTTTTCTAATAAGGGTGGGAACTCATCAAATGGTCATAGCCACAGAGGTGGAAAAAAGCACATTCCTAGCTGGGCCATATAGTTGTTGTTGTTGTTGTTCCTAGCTGGGCCATATAGTAGTAGTAGTAGTAGTAGTAGTAGTAGTAGTAGTAGTAGTAGTAGTAGTAGTAGTAGTAGTAGTAATAGTAATTCTTCTTCTTCTTCTTCTTCTTCTTCTTCTTCTTCTTCTTCTTCTTCTTCTTCTCCTCCTCCTCCTCCTCCTCCTCCTCCTCCTCCTCCATCATCTCCTTCTTCTTCAGAGGAGTTTTGGAATGGAAAAACAACCAAGTCAACTAATGCTGGCTATCGCTTCCAGGAGCGAAGAGGATAGTCTTTCAGCCTTCATTTATTATTGCTGCAGGTCTGCATGTTAAAAGTCCACCAGGCTGGTTGCAATACATTATTCACGCTCTTCATCTTGATTTGCAAGAATGTCCATTGTCTCTCCTAAACTCTAGAAGCAGCCTTAGAAGATACAATATCACGTGGAATCGGCCAAGGGGGCCTCACTTGGGGGGGGAGGAATCAAGATAACAATGAGTTGATAGAGAATGTGGGGAAGAGGTGAGGGGAACCATTTCATTCGGCTTGTACGCAGTTTTGAAATACTGCCTGACATTTAAAGGAAAATATTTGTAGCTCAGGGTGCTACAGGAGAGTGCGATTTGTGGAATGGAAGAGAAGAGAAGGAGAAAGGGAAGAGAAGGAGGAGGAAGAGAAGGAGGAGGACTGTGAGGTCCTTGGTACTTTACTCTCTGAGCTTGGTGGTTTCCTTGCAGAGATTTCATGACCCAAACTAGGTAAAATCATCAGTGCTACAAGGGGAGGAGGAGGAGGAGGAGGAGGAGGAGGAGGAGGAGAAGAAGAAGAAGAGGAGGAGGAGGAGGAGGACGACGACGACGACTGTTGGGTCGATGCTCTCTGAGCTTCCTGGTTTTCTTGCAGACATTTCATATATATCACTAACTTCTATGCCGCCCTTCTCCCCACGGGACTCAGGGCGGCTCACAGCATGTTAAAAAACAACACAGAAAACATTTCCCCTATAAAACCAATTAAAAATCAAATATATTAATGGCTGTGTCATTATTAAAATCTTTAAAATTTTTTCCCTATTTAAAATTCACCCTAGGTCAGTCCCGCTTGTTGAAAAAGCCATGTCTTGAGGGCGCGGCGGAAGGTTAAGAGATCCGGGATCGTCCGGATCTCGGGGGGTAGTTCGTTCCAGAGGGTGGGGGCACCCACAGAGAAGGCCCTCCCCCTGGGGGTCGCCAGCCGACACTGCCTGGCCGACGGCACCCTGA